TTAATTACAATAACTTGGTACGCAAGTCGTTATAAATACAAATATAAATGCAAGTCATTATAATTTGAAGGAATCAAAACATAAGATAACATAATATAAATACAATTGCTTGATGCCCAAGGGATTATTTATTGTGTATCAAAGAGTAATTATTTGTTAATTTACTAAAAAAATCATACATACATCTACCCGAATATATACGTATATGTTTTCGTTACGTTTTAAATAAGAAATATAATTTTTTTAATTTAATTTTAAGTGATTTATTTATTTTAATAAAATTGTTGAAATATGATTATTTAAATAATTAATATATGCATTCCAAAACTCAGAAAACATTAATTAAAGCAAATTTATACAATAAGAATATTAACTTAAACTTACCAAGTTGCTGTTTATATTTTATAATTATATAAATTATATAAATTTTTATTACCTTATCTTAACTATATGAAATTTAATCAAAATAAAAATTTATTTATTTAAATAAGGTGTATAAATCGAAATAGAATTAAATATAATAAAAAAATTAATAAGTGTATATTAATAAGAAAAATGCTAAATTTCACACGTGTCAATCTTTCAAAATTTTGAAATTTTACTTTATTATTTATTTAAAATAATAATTTTAATTATGTCAATCATTAACTGATTAAAAAATTTCATTTAAAAATTTTTATAATTAAAAATATAAAAAAAGAGTATGATGATTGTTAGAAATTTCACATTGAAGATTTATAAGCAGTTTAGAAATTAAATACTATAATTAAATTGTATTATTTAATGAATAATAGTTATTTATTTATTTATAAATATAAAATTTAATTTAATTTTTAATTAATACAGTTTTATCTATTTAACAATAATATAAACTCATGAATCTATTGGTAATTAAGGGCTAAGTGTAATTCAGTTTTGAATTTAGTGTATAAAATGGGGCAGATACAGTCAGACAAGATTAATAGTAATCAGAGGCTATAGTTACTCCCAGCAGTCAAGCAGACAAATCACACTCGCCACACCGTATAATTCTCCCATCTGCTATATAAAACGACAAAAGTAACGTCGTTTAATTCACAGTTTTCTCATCATCTTCCTGTTTTTTTAATTTCACCACTCTGTTGTCATCTTCTTAAAGTCTCCCAGTCTCCGCTGTGTCAAAAACCCAACCACATAATATCACCATAATCACGACATAAAACCAAAAACCAGTAAAAACCTCCATGTTTATCTATTTATCAAGCTATAAAACCAGATACCCAGATCCTCATTCTCCTTCACTTTAGTCAATATCTATCAAAAGAACTCGGAGGTTGAAGAAGATTCGAGCAAAAGGGACGATCTAAAGCGTCGGGAAAGAGACTTTTTTTGGCTTTTTCTTTTTAACTCTCTGTTGGGTTTTAGATGGAAAAAATGCCGGCGAGGTTCAAGAGGGTGGCGGCGGCGTTTGATGAGGTGGTGGCGCGTGTGAAGCCGTGCGAAAGCAGTAGCGGCAGCGAGCACTCGCCGGAGGATTCCGCCGATCTGTTCGATCTTGTCGAGTCGTTTATCGAAAGAGAAGGGAAGCTAATAATGGAGGAAAATAATGGTAATAATGATAATAAGATAAATTCAGAAGTGGAAAAAGAGGGTAATTCGGTTATGGAATCTGGGGTATTGGTCTGATGAAGATGGGGACACCATGGATACTTTGAAGAGTCTGCTTGGTTTCGATGGTTATGCTGGTGGTGATGATGATGAGAAGCAGAAGATTCTTGAAGACATTACTGAATTTGCATGCCATATCAGTTCTGATAGTCCTTCAATTAGCTTCAAGCGTCAATTAATGAACCTTTTACGCCGGAAAGGATTCGATGCCGGTGAGTTTTTCATTTTCAATTTTGTTTTTTTGGTAAAACATAACGTATTCATGAAATAGGTTTTAAACTTTATTTTAATGGCGTTCACAGGGCTCTGCAAATCAAAATGGGAGAGATTTGGGAGAAACCCTTCTGGGGAACACGAGTACATAGACGTCAACATCAATGGAACTCGTTACATCGTCGAAATATTTCTCGCTGGAGAGTTCACCATAGCTCGACCGACGACCAAATACCTCTCTTTACTCGGCGTTTTCCCACAGATCTTCGTCGGAAAACCAGAAACCCTGAAGCAGATCGTGAGGCTGATGTGCAACGCCATGAGAGAGTCCATGAGAAGCAAAGGCATGCATGTGGCTCCGTGGAGGAGAAATGGGTACATGCAGGCTAAGTGGTTCAGCCATTACCGGCGAACAGTGAATGAAACTTCGGCGAAGTCAATGGACGCCGGCGGAGATGAGAATGCTAAAAATCGGTCTGTTGGGTTCAATCCTTCCCGGTTGCCGGCGGGGTCTGCTATTTCTTATCACTGTAAGGATGATTTTGCGAGCCGGGTTGGGATGAGAGTTGGTTTTCTGACTCGCGCCTTTAATGGCGGGTCTGGTATAAAAATGGAGTTGTAGGAGTTCGGTGAAGAGGGTTGATTGCTTGTACATAGAAGAAGAAGAAGAATTCTAATGCAGTGGTTTTGGAGTGTTTTGGTAATTTTGGAGAGGAATTGTATTTGTAATTTCAGTACTAAATTTAATTGAATTATTGTATAATAATATATTATTATCATATTTATATATATGTATTTTTAATTTTTTTAAAAAATAAATATTTAATTAATTATATAATTAGACAGAAATAATTTTGACATGTATACATAATAATAATTATTTAAAATTTTTAAATATAAAAATACAATTTAATTTTATTTCTATAACTTTGTTATATAATTATTATTTTTTTTAAAAAATGATGACATGTTTATAAAGCACAAGATAAAAATCTAGTTTATTTTTAATTATGATATGATATAAATTATTTTTAAAATAATAAAAAAATAAACATATAAAATTTTATATAAAACTATTTTTTTTTTAATCTTAATAGATTTAACAAAAAAATAATAATTTAACCGACTAGAATTTGTTGGTGTGTAGTTGCTTTCCCGCCCGACTAACCGCCTCTAATTCATTCAATTTCCCGAGAACCAAACAACCCTAGCCATCCTCTTCCTCCACGGTTTCCTGGAGCTCCCGTACACCTGGCGCGACCAGATCAACGCCCTGTCTTGGCTCGGGCTCTGCTACGGAGCCCTCGCTCTAAGACCTGCGCGGTTATGGTTATGGTGACACCGACGCCACGCAGAGCTTCGGCGCATACACGAGCATGCATGTGGTGGGTGGTCTTATTCCACTCCTCAACGCCGTAGCCGCCGGGGCGACCACTAGATGGTCAAACACGTGGTGAACATGAGTGCTGCGTTAACCCGCAGGAAGAAGCCTCTGTAGAGCTTGAGAGGCTCAATGAGGATGATTGTTACATGTGCAATGCAGATTTCAGGTCTTGCTTTATATTTCCAAATCTCGTAGTTTAATTGAAAAGGAAACAAGTAGTAATCTATGGTTGTTAGTGATGGTGCAGGAGCCTAGAGAAATAGAAGCAGATTTGCCGAGAATTCTTAATTTCCTTTTTTTGACGTGAGTTTAGGATTTTTAGGGTTGTAATTATGTCTGAAATTCGTTTAGTTTCCTCCATAAGTTGTTTTCCTTTTTAGTTCTATCTTTGATTTTACCTTTTCTCTTTTTGTTTGCTGATATAACTTTCCATTTTGGACTTTCATATTCCTATTTTCTTTTGTTTAATTCATGTTATGAACCAGAGCATTGTTGCCTACATAAAGGAACCTCTCTCCTCCTCCAATCTCATCCTTTTCTGTTAATTTCACGCTTCTAAGTAAGCTTCGAGTCTGAATTTGGGTTTTTCAAGTTCTGTCTGTGTTTGAGTTTGGGTTCTCAAGTTCTCTTTGTTTTTGGATTTGGGTTTTCGAGTCAGCATTAGTTCTCTCTGATTAAAAGTTATGAACAGTGAAGAAAAGATCATCAATGGCGGACTCTATAATGAGCAGCACAATGAAATTATCTTTGATTCAAGCAAACCCCCACCATTTAGAATTGCTGAGATCCGAGCAGCCATTCCTAAGGACTGCTGGATCAGAAATCCATGGAGGTCGCTGAGTTATGTTCTCAGAGACGTGGTGGTGGTTTCTGCATTGATGGCAGCTGCTGTCTTCTTCAACACCTGTTTCTTTTGGCCGCTTTACTGGGTTGCACAAGGAACAATGTTTTGGGCAATTTTTGTTATCGGACATGATTGGTATGTATATATACATATATACTTTTCTGTAATTTCCACCCAAAAGAAAAAAGAAAATCTTATATAACATGTAAATCCATATGTGTGTTCTGTTTGATGTTTGTAATTAACCCTTCTTATCTTCAATTTTACAGCGGCCATGGCAGCTTCTCAGATAAGCCCAAGCTCAATAGCGTTGTGGGTCACATCTTACATTCTTTCATTCTCGTGCCTTACCATGGATGGTAAGTTATTTTGTCATTATATATATACATATATATATATATATGTATCTAGCTTTTTCCTTTGAATATTTTGGCATGTCTTTGCTTGAGCTAAAGTTGGTACTGGTAAATTAATTCTCTCGCAGGAGAATCAGCCACAGAAAACACCACAATAATCATGGACATGTTGAGAATGACGAATCTTGGGTCCCTGTAAGAATGCGTTTCATCTAATTGCCTCTTGATTGAATCTAAGTTTTCTATTCTCTCATTATAAGTTTCTTTCTTCTCAACCTTTACAGTTGACTGAGATGATTTACAAGAAATTAAGTGCAAGAACTAGAAGATTTAGGTTCACTGTGCCTTTCCCCTTGTTGGCATACCCTGTATACTTGGTGAGATAGATACCTTTTGATGTTGTGTCAGTAACCATTTTATCCCATTATTTTGTTTCGAACAAAAGACTTATCACCTCTTCTGTGGTGCTTTACATTACAGTTTTACCGAACTCCAGGAAAAGCAGGATCTCACTTCAACCCGTCTAGTAACTTGTTTGCACCGAGTGACAGAAAACTTGTGATAACTTCGACTTCTTGCTGGACTTTAATGGTGCTCTTGCTAGCTTATTTGTCATTTGTCTTTGGTCCAATCCAGATACTCAAGTTCTATGGCATGCCTTATTTGGTGAGACAACTCTTATCTAGTCTGACAAACTCATAGATTTCACATTGTCAAAGTGGTTGTGATCCATGTTAGTAATGGAAATTTATAAATATTATTTTTGTAGATCTTTGTGATGTGGTTGGATTTTGTCACTTACTTGAATCACCATGGCCATAAGCAGAAACTTCCTTGGTACCGTGGCAAGGTACTGCACCAAATCTGTTATAAAACTTGATAGAAACTCAAACTCATATACGTTTTTATTCTTTATAAGTTAGGAGGGTTTAGTTATGATCCCTAAGAAAGTTTCTTGTTGGATATTCATATTTGGCAGGAATGGAGTTATCTTCGTGGCGGACTAACGACTGTAGATCGTGATTATGGATTGTTCAACAAGATCCACCATGATATTGGCACTCATGTTATACACCATCTCTTCCCTCAAATCCCACATTATCACCTTGTAGAAGCAGTACGTACCATTTTTATATCTCTTCATCTCTTGCAAACATACACTTTTAAGTAAAATTCCCTTGGTCAAGCTCTAATTTTTCTTTTATACAATTTTGCATTGCAGACAAATGCAGTGAAGCCATTGCTTGGAAAGTATTACCGAGAACCGAAGAAATCAGGGCTAATTCCTTCTCACTTGCTCAAGACCTTGTTGGAAAGCATGAGGCAAGATCATTATGTGAGCAATACTGGAGACATTGTATTCTACCAGACTGATCCTACGCTGTTTAATGATTCTTCAAGCAAGCTGTACTGACTTTTTCTGAATCAGAATTCATCGACTACAACGATCATTTTGGCTTAGCAACTTGATTCAACAGCCTCTAGTTCAAAAATTCTAAGTGCTTTTGTACATTTTATTACATACATTTACTATTGTATGTGTCTTCTTTTTTTTCGCATCAATATGATTTTAGTTCTTTTTCTCGTCAAGACTTCTATTATTTTTTTTAAATTTAAGGTTAAAAATATTTTTCGACATTTCAATTATTCATTTGTACATGAATGATGATGAAGGTGAATATATCGAATTTATGTATCATTATACAATGCATTCATATAAATATGACGGTTAAAAAAAATAATACAAAAATATGTAAACTATAAAAACGGATCAAAGTGAATTTTCTCACGTTAATACTTTCGTATAATAACTCTAACAAGAGTAATCTTATTATAAGAATAATTTCTAATATATTTATTATAATTTTGACTGCTTGATAATTAAAAATTTACTGATACATTTAAATTGATAATAATTATATAAATTTTTAAAAAAATAAAAAAAGAAATTACTTAAATACATTATGTCATTATAAATTATTTTTGATAATTTATTAATTTTAAATATATTGATATGAAAAGTATAAAAATAATGAACTTAAAATTAGCTAAAATAAGTTAATTAAGTTATTTTTATACAATAATTAAGATGTTTTTAGTATTCTGTTTGCATTATAAATTAATAATTTTTTCAAAGTTGATAAAATGTGTAAATAGTAATTTCCAATTGGCTTAAAAAAATTAAATAAAAAATAAATTATCCTTTAACATCAAATAAATAAATCATTAACTGATGCTACCTTAATTAGAATAATGATCAAATTCTAAAGGAAAAAAAGTCAATAAGTTCAACGGTTGTGATCTGCCTTCTAAATATCAAAAATAGAAACTGCGGTACCAAGTATTGTCCAATGCCTTAGTGACCTTGAGAAACCCCACCAATGGCTACAGACACCTGTCTCTAAAACGAAGGAGCTCTGGAGAGAGGGAAAGAATCGAAACCCTTTCACCTCAATTTTATTTCTTTTTACAGAAAAATCGAATTGAATTTCTCTTTTTTAGAAACTGAAAAAAAAGGGAAAAAAAATTGAGTCGGAGACGAAGTGGATCGGCCAGTGAATCGGCGCCACCGATTCGATGGAGGGAGTAGGGGCCCGACTTGGGCGTTCCTCGACCCGATACGGACCCGCCACGGTGTTCAGTGGACCGGTGAGGAAGTGGAAGAAGAAATGGGTCCATGTTTCTCCCTCTAACAATAATAGTAACAGTAACAATCACCATCATCATCACCACAGCAACAATGGCAGCGCTACTCCTAACGGTAATAACGGCTCGCATCTCTTGCTTTACAAGTGGACTCCTATATCTCAAAGCAATAATAACAATGGTAACGCCAGCAGCAACAGTGGCGACAAAAACTCCGCTAAAGAGGAACCGGCGGCGCCTGAGGAGCCGCCCAGGCGTAAATTCAAATACATTCCGGTACTTTTATGGTGGTTTGCTTCTTAATTTTCTGTTTTGCTATCTGGGTTTTGCTTATACTTGGTGTGTGATATATATATATTTTCTGGGTGATCTTGGTCGTTCATCTTTTGGGAGGTGATCTGGGTTACTTTCTCGGCGGTATGAACAGTGTTTAGGGTTTTGGTCTTTGTTTTTTGTTTTTCTTCCTTAGGTTGCTGAAGGAAGAATTGGGTTAGTGTCATTGCTTGGAAATTGAAGGAAGCGGAAAGAAAAATATTTGTGGGATCTGCATTTGATAGAACATGAGACTTGTTGATACAGAAAAACGGATTCTTTGAGTTTACAGGTTTTGGTTGGTAGATTTGGTTGATTTGCTAAAAAACTTGGGTTTGAATTTTGTTACGTTTGAACTAGAGACTGGAAAAAGATGTGGTTGATTGGATTTGTTAAAATGGTATTGATTGTATTTTTATATTTTCTATTTAATTATATTAGCTTGACATACTACACAGAAAAAGATGTGGAAAAAGAAGCATATTGGTTTTTTTTTTTTTAATCTGGTTTTAACTTCTAGACAATAAGATGCAAGTTTACGAGGACATAAACATGAACTTACCTGATGGGAGGTCAGTTCTATTGCTTGGCCAGATTTTGACAGATGTATTTTACTTTGTGTAAACAGAACATTATCGTATTATAATCTTTTCTATCTTAAGATCCTCCGTTATTTCATTTTTTTGGGGGCAGGGAGTTTTCTTTCTTTAATAAAAGCATTGGGGAAAGATGTCTCTTTGTTTAGTGAAAACATTGGGGAAAGGATTAAAACTTTTCTGAGAAAATTTAGTCTTAAATACTGATCGATGTCCATTGAAGAATGTATTTAGGTGCTATTTTACTTCTGTGTTCTAACAACAGCTGTTAATAGTTGAGGAATAGGCTTAGGAAGCGTGCTTGATCTAATCCTTGCAATGACTAATCGATTTCTTATTAAAAATTTGAAAGTTGTATTCGTGTTGATGCACTCTTATTTCTGCATCACCTTTAGTTGGTTAAAACCAATAAACCAATAGATTTGCAAGCAAAACTCGGAGATCTTAGGATTGCGTGCAGTATTATTCATATAGTCTTATCTGAAATCCAATGAAATTATAAGCAGCTTAAATAAGTTGGAAGTAGATAAACTTTAAGAATAGTTAGCTGGATATCAGCCCAAAATAAGAGACACTGAGAATTTTTGCTGATTTTTCCCTTCCTCGTGATATTGAGGTTAAGTCTATAGACAATTGAAGGAAACTTTTGGAGGGTGTATAATTTAGATGTGGTTCTTACTGTATGGGCTTTAGTTTGACCATTATCATAATATTAACCTCTTGAGCCATTTTGCTTCCTCACTGAAGCTCCTTCACCTGAACAGAAAAATTTTATGATGGCGAATTAAAAAAATGCAGCACAGATCTCTCTCTATTTGTTCTTTTTTAATATATTTTCCCATTTATCTTTTGTCTATCTCGCTCACCCAAAGAAGAGAGAAAAAACTTCCGTTAACGTTAACGTATACAATGCTTCTTATGTTGCACTGAAAGAAGTTTATGTTAAAAAGATGTGTTTTAGTTGCTACAGTTAAAAGCCTGCTGTGAATAAGTCTTTTTTAGAAGATCATATATATTATGATTTTTTTTAAAATAAAAAATGTGAAGTATATATTGACAAAGTACCAAAAGGGGGTACCGCCCATGTACAAAAAATTTATAATATAGTTAGGATGTCAATAACATTTTCAAAATTCTCACATCTAATAATGTCATGTTCTAACAAAATAAATCCAAAATAATGCAACCATCTATTTTTCAATTTATACAACCCTATCTCTTTATCCTCAAAAGCTTTGAATTTATCTCCTTCGAAAGCACCCCAAAAAATGGTCAATGGAATAAGTTTAGCCATGTTTCTATTAATATGTATACCTTCCCACGCCCACATTTCCTCTCTTACAGATCCCGACATCACCCAATTGATTCCTAATAATATATGTACCTTCCCACGCCTATATATATTATAATTTGAATTGCATTAAATATTTTTTTATTTGGTAATAGTATTTATTTTCCATGAAAGCGAAATTTGTTGCTTCCTTAAAGCAGCTAATATATATTTTTTGCTTAGCTAATATTTTCAATGAAAACTTTGGAAATATAATTAAGAAATATACCAAATGCCAGTTTTGCAAAAGGAAGGCTATATTTTGAAGAAAAGAAAATATAACTCCAAAAGTAGAATAGTAGAAAGCCTAATTTTATCATCTTGCTTGAACAAGATTTATTATATAGGGTCATACCTCTATGACCTCGAGTTCTAATAAGATACGATCTCAAGTTTGTGAATGAATTGTGACCGTGTGGTCGAAGCATGATTAGTGGCATGATGGTCTTGGACTATTGATATTGTAGAGGATTGTTCTCAGTCAAGATTTGACCTTGACTAGGGTGGTAGATGGTTGTTTGGCGGACTGAAAAGAAACAACAAGTTCTAATTGTGTTGGTTCATCTCACATTCACTCCTAGTCTCTACAGGCAACCTCTTTCAAATATACAATGTGGATTTTGTGATCCAAATGAATCATCTTTTTTTGCAGAGGCAAGAGAATAACAAGTTACAATTTTGTGTTTCAGTAGAATATGTAATTCTACTACTGTGACATTCATAAATGAAATAGTCACTGGGGGATTACCATTATTTTCTTTTACAGTTATGAATCTTGTATGTCTTCTTTGGTAAAGGAATTTGTTGGGGTCTTAGATGGCCAGAGGAACACATAAAGACTCTTAGATGAAAATGGAAAGAGATATAACTCTAGTTCCTTTGAATACGGAAGATTTTACATGCAACAAGGGCTTGATTCATATCATCTTGACTTGGTTATGATTTTTTTCCAATTTTTTGTGAAAATGATACACTTGACCGAATAGAAAATGCCGAGTCAAATCTTCTTCAGGTAAATAAATTGGCTTGATTTGGATTCGGAGACTCGTACATTTTTATATAACCATGTGCTATGGCTTGAATCGTTAGTCAATCCTCTTTCAATTAAGAGCAGTTGGCAATTAAATTCCAAATTTTTTCCTACCAATTTCATTCCATATCCCTAATAGTACAAAAGGAAACACATTGAAGGCAATTGAGAATGTGGAAAATTTTCTTTTACAGGAAAATTACCTCCTGATTCAAGAGGCACTTAATTTTTTTTCCATTCTCTTCTGTCATTGATAGTTCTGAAAATTTGCAGATTTTCTTCCTTACGTGTTTCAGTCATTATTAAGTCTAATGCTGTTTCTGATTATGGGGGTGTTTGGTTTGACCTATTTCTGGGTCAAACAAGCTTATAAGCTGGTCTAATCCAAAAATAAGTTACACAGGTGTTTTTCTTGGGCCATATGGCTTATAGTTCAGTGAGGTATACACTAAAAGATGAGCTGTAAATCTACTTGTTTTCTTTGGCTTAAAAGTTACGTAATAAGTTTGTTTTTTCTTCCCGATTTTTTCCAGAATGTCCTAATTAGGAATTACAAAATCCCTATTCATGTCCTTTTTGGTCATTTTAACAACTTTTCAACTTTGAAATACTCTGTTACCAAACACTCACAAATTTGTGGAACTTGTAAGTCCAATTAAAATACATCTGATTAAAGACATTTTACTTATTCATTCAAAAGTTTGTAAGTACTTGCTTATTATATGCTTTCTAAGACCTTTTGAGAAGTAAAAGAATCACATTCATTCTAATTGTGATGCGATTTTGTGATCCTGAATTTTATTTTGTTTACTTTGTTTAAGGCACAAACAATACTTTTCCCATTCTAGTGATTCTTGTCGAAAAAAGATAGAGTAATGCAGAATTAAGTTCAAATTTTTCTGTTGATTCTTTTGCCTCAGGCTTGACAAGATACTTGATTGTAATTATTCTCCAGTTAGACTTTATGATTGAATGGTTATTTGGGCTATTTTGACGATGCAGATTGCTTTGCTGGAGGAACAGAAAATAGAAGCTACAGAAAATGAGGCTGCAGAGAACCATGAGGAAGAAGCTAAACCAGGTGATACTGACCCAAGCATGGTGGATTCAACTCCCAGGAATGATGGTTCTGATGAGAAACCTGACATTAATGATGTGCCCATGGAAGAAAATCAGGTGAAGAGTAATCCATCCTTGTCCTAATCTCCCCTTTCCACTTTTCTTTCCTTTTGACATGCTTTTTCCTTGTTGAAGTTTTGATGTTGCATGCGCATAGGTAACTCCGAAGTTGAGTGATCGATTGCCCTTACTTGCTTGGACAACCCTTTACACTCTGTGTTTGGATAGAAATAATCAAGGGAAGGAAATGAATATTTTAAAGGAAGAATTTTTTTTTCTTGTTTGTTCTACAACTAAATATTGGGAAATTAAAGAAAAACAGTGGTATTGCACTGGGTACAGTTGCCCGTTATGGCTATGGAACTAAGTGTATACTTGGCTTTTATATGGAGAATAGAAGTGACTATTAGATTAAGTACAAGTACTTAGATCCATTTAATTATAGAAGGAAGAAAGTCAATGTAAGTCCATAGATAAGCTAAGACAATATTGTGTATGCCATTATAATTGTAGACTTTATCACAAAAGACAACAGTTTCATATTCTTTGTGTGAAAAAAAGTTTGAACTAATTAGTAATCCTTGATTGATCTGTTTTTCTTTGAACTTTTAGTCTATGAGCCCTCATCTCATCACCTACTATGAGTCTAGTTCTAAATTTATCAAATGTTTGTCATGCACATTAACCATCGAATTGGAGCAACATAGGAAATGAGAGAATTGTCGTAGATCTCTAGTCCTTTTTTTTTTCTTGAGACAATTCTTTATTTGATCAAGGTGTATAAAAGAAATTATATATGAAGATGAATGATTTCAACTACTCTTTATTATGGTAAAAATATAAAGTTGGTTAGTCAAGGATAATGTAGACTCAGACCCGACAGTTTATTTCGTTTTCTTTTTCTTTTTTTTTTTCTTTCCTTTCCTATTGCCCTAATTTATTTGAATGAAAAAAGAAATTCAACAAAAAATGAGGGAACCACGCAATTCTTTATTTTCTGATTCTCTCATCTTTCCGGTCACTTATTTTCTAGCTTTATTAGATTGAAGGAATGAGATGTCTGGATACACTTCTTACTGTAAACTTTTATCTAATCCGAACGTTCAACTTGATTTTGGTTTTAGGAGGATAATAAGTTAGTACGCCAAGATCTGAACGAAAGCACATTGGATTTGAGCTTGGGTTTAACAGCTCATGACAATGAGTCGGAAAACCTCAGACCAGATATGGCTCATCAGAGAGAGTGAATTCAAGTTTCTGCCGGACCCGAGTGGATGTAAGCCTTCTTCAGTTCGTATTTCATTGCTGTGAACAGGAGAAGGAAGTGGCTTAGCTTAGTTTAATTGTTCTGAATTTAGAGATTCAATTTTCCCCTCTTCTTAGGATAAAGTGTCCGAGTGGCTGAAAAATGTACCTTTTAGTCTCACTTGATGGTCCCTTACAATATTGTTACTGATTTTACAACTCTATTTAATTTTTTTTTTTTTTTCTTATCAAACATTGCATTTTGATTTGTCCATTTCTTTTCTTTCCTATACTTACTGGATATTAATATGATTGTACTTGGCAAACATAAAAGATCTAGATCTTTTAACCATTAATATGCACTGTCTTTTCTTACCTGCAGAAGGGCTTTTTGTGTTATATATTTTTATGGTGTTATCGTTTGAACCCTTTTGTAGTTTGACCTAGTTGGAATTCCCTGAAACATTTAACTATGATAAAATTATTAGCTTATTTATTTATTTTTTTGAACTTTAATTACGTGCATATGTATCTTCAAAAACAAACAGTTGTATAGAAAATGACAAAATCAAAATTACAATAAAATCAGATGGCAGAGAGTGAAACCTATATGTTGAGTACTGAATGCCAAATCCTTTCACATCACACCCAGCAGAAAACATGAATTTTGTCCAAAGTGCAATCTTCCATGACTCATAAGTATTTTACTGTTGGATTAAACAAGTACTTTGTTATGATAGAGTTACTTGGACTCCTGGCAAAGTAAAATCCAGGTGACACAAATTCTAACTCATGGCCAAAACACAACTCAAGTTCACATGAGAGATTACATAAGCTCAAGAGCTCACGGTTACAAAGGAAACATTGGCTACATGAGCTTAAAAGGTTATTGCCGCATTAAAGGAGAGCAAGGCCTAACTCAAGATGGAGCTCACGGCCACACGGGAGTCTACATGGAAGCTCACGGTCACATGGAGAATTATATGCATAGAGCAACACCTAATAACAGTAAAATTAGAACAATCGAGCAAAAAGGTCAAGATCCACAATTTCTAAAATGAACTGGATAGCTTGGATGATTAAACCTGTGATTCTGTTCAAAGTCATTGAGATAGTGCAAATGCAATCTAAAGCTTGATGAAATGACAACCAATCAGATCGTAGGGCAATGGCTCTTTATCCCACCACTTCACCAGGAATGAAACAACTGTCTGCTAGACCCTTTTAACCAAAACATTATACCAGAAGTTTGGAATGTCTAACTCAAATGATCAAACAAGTAAAGAGAAACCATCTAACTTTATTAGCAAATTCTGAAAGTTTTCTAGTTGAATTGCATAATTTCTTTTCGCTTTACAAGCAAAATGACAATCAAGATCCAGTTACGAATCCAAAAGCAGAGCATATCATATGTTGAAGTTGAAATTCAATCAACTTTGAGGAAAGGAATAAACGTGGCCTGATCCCTCCACTATGTAGGAGGCTATGAAGATTTCGTCATCATTGTTTCGCAACAGCAGCCTCTTCCTCGGAGTAGTAGTCATGCCTGAAAATGGATGTAACAAACTAAAGTCGATCTTGGATTGGCACAACAAATGTTAATTGGAAAACTGAAATGAATAGAGAAAAATGATTGCAAGAAAAACTATGGGAAAAACTTTCCAGCAGACAAGTAACAGAAAATTGGCAATTATGCCCTAATCATGTTCTACAACACTGCTCAACTAGTCTTGCTCAAAAGGTAAAGATAAACATCTCCCGAAGTAAGTATCTTTCACTTACCTTATTTTACGTGAAAGTTGATAAAGACCAGTCCCAGCCATTGCAACATTTACACTCAAAAGATTCCAGTTTTTCTGAAATTAAAAATTGAAGATAAAAAACAGTTAAAACTAAAGAAACTCCCTATGCATAATTGGCAAGAGAAATGAAACAAAGATTCATCTAAAACATATTAAACAAGAAAATTTCAAAAGAAAGAATGGAAAGGATCCAGAATCAGAAGGTTCCCAAATTGTAGGCAAAGTTAAAATATTTTCTTCTCTTAACATTTTGATGGTTGAAGTTTCCTACATATATGGAAATAGTTAAAAAAACTACATGAGGCAGCCCAGTTACTGAGTATTCAAGCATCAGACATCAATTAATATCAACGTCTACATCTCCACCTCTCTCCCCCTTACACAAACATATACAAAGAGAAAATAAGTTCAACATGAAGTGTAGATAAAATATGATATTTCTTTATCTTGAATGTTGATTTTACAAATTGGCACATATCTCCATCCCACAACAAAATATACTCGAGACCAAAGACAGCTATGTGGGAAATGAGGAAATGAAATCCCAATCAAACTGAAAATTCCAATGTCTAAATTAGATGATAACAGGAATCAAGTTAAACCAAATACATGGAGAATTTTGGAATTTCCGCGTTAAGAAAGGGCATAGGCCCTGATATCATAGGCCTTGTATGCTAAGACACCACACTTACATCACTATGTATGTATTACTAATGATTATCTAACAAATGATGGTTAACTCTATGCAAAAAGATCTACCATGTGATGGTTATCTAATCAGTAGTCCAACTTACAGGAGTGATTACAGTGCTGTAACGTGACCAAATAAGTCCAGTGCATGTAACCGCTGGGTAAGACATGACAAGATCAATAAACTTCGGTTAAAAACAGAAAATCCCTAAAACCAAATAACAATTTATGGAAACCATCATTGGCCAAATGGATACATGCTCAATCGCATATGAATTCTTTAAAAAAACATTGAACAACATGTACCTATTTGCTGAGGATATGAGAGCTTCTCTGGTGGTTTAGAGAAATCCGCAATATTTGCTATGCTTATTCCCCATTTAAATGTCGGTGCCCAAAAGTGAACTGCATGACAAATGAAATCACACTTACACCCTTCCTTTCAAGATGGAAGCTGAGTTTTCAGCACCGAAGAATTCACAGTACGAATTACATTGCAATTATGCATATTAAGCCAAGTATGAGTACTAAAACTAGGAATTGAATAAAAATTAACGAGAAATGAACTAAGCACATTGTAGAATGTTAACAATGAGATCAATACCAATCTTCAGTGAGAAATCATACTTTTAAACAAGAAATCATAAAAACCTTGAATAAACTACTCTTCAACACTTAATTTTAACTTTTTAAAAATTTGAAATCTTTATCACAACTTCCACTATTTTGGTGATTATTCTACCCAATTGCCAATTGCCCATGTAGGATAGAACATGTTTGGTTCTTCCTAATACTAATTGAAAAATAATTTCTTTAACCTTTTAGAAAGAGCATTTTTTCCGAATAGATTCAATTGCTTGCTAATAACCTGCAATTAACTAAGCGTACAAAATATTCGTAGATTTAATCAAAGATCAAATCATTTAAACCGAATTTTCCGAAACAGTAACACAAACAAACAAAATAACCCAACTTACCCACTTTGACTATCATGGTTTTTTCTAAAATGTTTTATCTCTTTAATTGATTAAAAATGAAGGATTTTGAGATTTGAATAATTTCATAGAAACCTGGACTATAAAATTCAATGCCACAAATCCGAAATCGGAGAATCAAAAAGTCAAAAATACAACCTTACGGCAATCCACAAACAACGATTCTAAGGACAAACCGAGCTGAATCTCCAAACGGGTATTTTTGTTTTCAAAATCGCTGAAGATAGATGGATCATTTGGAGGTATTTGCACAACATAGAAATGTAAAGCGGAAAAAGAAAAATGACATGTACTAGAGCATAACGATATGCGAGTGACGTAATAAACCGAGTCAACTCACTGGTTTTGGGTCCTGCGGGGTGATTCCATAGAGCTTGCAGCTTCGATGTCATGGAGTCCTCTCTCTCTAAGAAGTTTCTTTCGCCTCCTCCTGTTTGGTGGGTGAAAATGATTCTACCCTCCAGCCCAGCTTTGTACTTGATCGACGTTCAAGCGTTTCGGTTACGTCACTTTCCAGCTCGGTATCCACTTTAAAACGTTGTCGTTTTATCCCACGGTGAAATATTTGCAACTTAGCTTTTTATTGAATTCAATATAGTACTAGTAAATTTTATAAAATTACACTTTTGCCCATAATTCATGATATAAATACAAAATGGTTATATTCAAATTTATAAAAAAAAATATTATACTTATTTTGCTATATTTTATTATTATTTAATATATCTTACAATTAATTAATTATTACCTCCGGGATTTTATCCATTAAAATTAAATTTTTTTAAAAAAATTAATTTTAAAAATTAAGAAAACAAAACTATTTTCTAAATAATAATCCGATCCATTTCTATCAAGAGAAATAGCCCAAATGTGCTATAATTCTTAAGCCCACTGGGCCGACTTGTAAGCCCATAACTTCTCTACTTTAAACGACTCCGTTTTGGGTGTTTCTGGTCAAGCAACAGCTCTAAGACGAGCTCGCTTCTGGTCAAAATTAGGGGGAGAATTTTGGGCTTTCTGGAATTGAGCTGAGAAATCAGAGAGAGTTGGGGCATTCGAAGGTCGATAAAGAAAAGAGATAGCTATTTTGAGAAAGGGCAAAAGGCCGAGGAATGAAATGCAGACAAATCAGTAGGCTGAGCGGGATTTGACTGAAGTTTAAGAGCCGAGTCAAATACAAAAAGTAAAAATATGAGAAGGTAGAAGAGGAAGAGAAAGAAATCTTTTCGCAACAGAGAGGTATTTGAGGAAGAACTGGTTATCTGCGGTATAATCTGGCTCTTTTTCTCTTTGTTTTCTCCTTGAGTTAATTCCTAAGATTTTTTCCCCTTTGTCAGTGTCAATTTTGTGTTGAATATTGATGGTGAAATGAAATGACTTAGAATTAATCCATGACATGCTTGCTCTGGTGAATTTAGTTCATTGCGAGATCATCTCTGGTTATAGTATCAGAATTTACAGGTGATTTAATGTTGAAAATGAGAAAAATGAGTGAATGTAAACAGAGATCGACATTTAGGATTTGTTTAGAACCAATGAAGAATTTTTGTCTGAGTTCATTTGAAAATCAGTTTCTAGTTTAATTAGGAGATGATGAAATTTAGTTGAAATTTGATACTTTTTTGTTTTGTGAAATTTAGTTGTTCCGAACATAACCTGTGTGTACACTAATTCGTGGATATAGTCTAGATTGGCTAGAGTTTAATTGTGCTTATTTGCTTGAATAATTAGATATATTGTGAGACTTGAAGAAGCCTGTGACTGTTGATTGAGAGTAAAGAGACCAAGTTTTCATGGATACACAGACGCAAAACTCTTCGCTGCAGAAGCTTCAAAATGTGGAGAAGGTAATTAAGAACTGAAAATCTAATCCTTTTGGGGTTAAAATGTTGACTCTATGCAAGTTTAAGGGTTTGTTTCCTTTTTTTTCCCCTTAATTTTTTGGTACAGAGAATTGTTAGGGTTTTGGAACTGGCAGGAGGGATTATGGATGAACTTGCAAACCCTACTGGACCTAGAAAAGAATTCATCAACAACCATTGCCTCGAATTCATGCAATTAATCAAGGTCTTTCCTTTATTTCTCTAAATGTTAAGTTAACCTAGTGCCTCTGAAGGATTCGTTCAAGTTCCTTTTGCACCTTAAACTTTTAGTTTCTTCGAGTAAAAGCCAAAATATGATAAATGAAATTGGAAAATATTTCTCCAACATATGTAACTATTGTTTATATAGTTGGTGTAATCTATAGTGTGATGATTATAATCCAAACACTGTGACTTTATTTTACCTCTAAGGTTAGGTTCCATGAACACATTTTCTGTTTATCAATCTAACTCTAAGCAGAATATAAATCATTGTACCGAGTTACCTTGTGTTTTGCCTCGAGTTTTTTATTGTCTTGCTATCTAATGGGTTAGATAGTTTTCTTTTTTTTTTTTGGATGTTAAATATAAATTTTTCCCTTTGAGTTTCATAATAAGTTTGATTTTTATGAAAAGTAGGATATCCAAGTGACATTAAGGGATGAGATAAAGAGTGCATGTGAATACCGTCCATTTGAGAAGTGTGATTACAGTGCAAGAATAGCAAATGAGATATGTTGCAAGAAGCTGGAGTATGTGCTGTCACAACTGGATGGGATGAAGCAGACTATCGACGAATATCACGCTTCCATTTGAAGATGCATTTTGTGTAGCATTTGCTAGTGAGTTTCTGGTCTTTCATGAATTTCTTATATATTCTGTACACCATATGAATTCCGTGGCACTCATCTTCTTTCTCCACGATCCAGACAGTTCATAGGAGATTCAAATTTGGAGAATGGTTGTGTTTAGCTAGCATCAAATTAACAATTAATTTTTAGTTTCAGTTATTTTCGGTCATCGAATATTTTCTTGCTTTGTAGGTGTGATGCCAAACAGCAAGCTGATCAAGAGAAGCTAAGCAGGCACGGTATGCTTGCTACTTTTACTTCCATTCCCTTCGGTTTGTCTTCACCGATATTTCAACCTTCCTATGATGACTAACAAGTCATAAGAAATCAACTCCTCCATTCCTCTCGGTTCTTATAACTTGATTTATTCTGTCTTCTTCATTTCAGCTCGTTTTGGTAGCTACTGGAAACTACATATTACCAAATATAATTGCTTATCCTAGTTATATTGTTGGTTTAGAAATCAATGAAGTTGATGATGCAGAATATTATGTTGCACTAAATTCGTTTTACGCCTGTTAATTGAGCATTGCAATTTAATCATTTAATCAAACAATTTAGAGCAATATGAGCTGTTAGATGTTTTTGTTACCACTAAATTTGAAATTAATAACGGTAGGAATCCAAAAAATATTGAATTTAATCATTAAATTTATCTTAATTAGCAATTTTGGTTTAAATAAAATTTCACTCTTTACCCATTTTTAATACATTAAAAAATTACCAAGAGAATATAATTAAATGGATATATTTTAAATATAATATTCCAGCATGTTTTGTAAGAATCCTCTTTTTTTAAAAAAAAAATTATACATTTTCGTATAGTAATTGAACATTAATTATAATTTACTTAATTTCTTAGTAAGAAAATTATATAATTTTTAATTAAATTCATATATGTTACAAATCAAAAAATTAACCAGCAAATTTTAGTCTACCAATTATTCAAGTTCTAAAGCATTAGAGAAACCCTAATTTTGACTTACATGTGGTTGAAACTTAATATATATTTTATTGTAATAAAAAAATAATAATATTGAAATATATAAAATTAATTGTATATATCAGGCAAATTCCAGAGATCTGAGAATTCAGGACAAGGGGGAGGATACTTCAGTCTTTTCACATTCTCTGTTCTCTGTCTCTCTCTCTCTCTCTCTCTCCGCGCGATAGTTTGGAACCCGTTTCGCCATGGAAGACCTTAAATTATGCATCCTACTGGGCTGACAAAACCGCTAGTTCTTCTCTTTGTAACGTTAGGTACCACCATTATCTTCCTTCTCTTTTTCCAGCCATTCACAGAGCCTCACCCCTCTTCTTCTACACGACGGGACTCCATGGCTCGAAGCTTCATCTTGTGGCTTCACGGGTTGGGCGATTCGGGTCCCGCCAATGAACCCATCAGAACTCTATTCACTTCTCCAGAGTTCAGAAACACCAAATGGTCTTTTCCCTCTGCTCCTTCCAACCCAGTCACCTGCAACTGTAAGTCTCCTTTACATACATAGACACACATATATATGTATCACGCGTGTTGTCATGGCTTGGATTGTTGGATCCGGGTTTACACAAATGGATGTTGATTTTCTTGTTGGCTTGATAGTTTGATTCTCTTGGTGGTTTTCTGTATGGTCAGATGACTCAATTTGAAACGGAATGTTAGACGTTTTAGCAGTTTATGATGGTAGGTGACTAGTGAAAAGAAAAAACCCAATTCCCATTTGACCTACATTCTTGATGCAATTGAATTTTTTGTTATCAGTTTCTCCTTTCGAATGATGCTGAAAATGAACCATAAAACTGAAGCTAGCAAAGAGAAATGGATGGTTAGAAAGGCCAAGAGAGGTACTTTAATATGATGTATGTATTGTATTGATATTCAATATATTGGATTCATCTGTAAATAGCATTTGTCAGCTAAATTTTAGATGTCTCAGATTAGAAACAATCAGTAGAAATTTTGAGACTTTTCTAGTGATATACATGGTCTTATTATTCATTTTAACCAAGTTTGAGGGATATCATCAAACTAGTTGAAAAACTTTTAGACTCTTTTCTAGTGATTTTGTTTTACTCGTCTTATAAATGATTGACTTGGTACTCATCCTATCATGAAAATCAACTCCATTGTTACCTTTTTATCAGTATCTGTAACTCACTATAGTGGTTTTGTTTTCTTCTTTAAATTTCCCTGTTGGAGGTTTCTTTCAAATTGTATTTTTGTGTCATACTTTTTTGTGTTAATTTCCATATTTTCTATAGATGGTATGGTGATGCCTTCATGGTTTGACATTCATGAGATTCCTGTGACAGCTGTGAGTTACACTTCCCTTTCTATTCTATATCGAATTTCATTTAACTCATCTTTAGTTTACAAGTTGAATATTTTTGTATCATGAAATTAAGATATAAAATGTTCAAAAGCAATTCTATTTTTATTCAATTCTTGGGAAATGAATTGATGCTAAGTTGCTGATTTCATGGTTAATTATCTTATTATTAATACGTAATAACTTATTATAGGGTGACATGTCAAGCATTCTTTCATGTTGGAATTAGGCCTTTTCATCTTGATCATTGGACGTTTACGTGGATTCTGCCAGAAAATTTTTTTAACCATTCAATATTTTCGCCTAGAGGTCACTTAATATATCTGAGAAACACTATTATATCTGAGAAACACAGATGTAAGCTTGTTCATGATCAAGAGTGAGCAATTTGCACCTGGACAATTTTCAGCTCGCTTTCTTGATTTGCTTTCTGTTTTATTCCTTGGAAATTAGACTTCTTGCAGGCTCTCTAGTCCCTAGAATACAATTCCACCTTAACTCATATGGATTTTCTTGTGTACCATTTAAGTTTGTTAAGTTTATTTTGCTTTTGCCCATGTATCAGAGTTCCCCTCAAGATGAAAGTGGTTTGCTTAAAGCAGTTCGGAATGTGCATGCAATAATAGACAAAGAGATTGCCGCTGGAACAAATCCCAACAATGTATTTGTATGTGGATTTAGTCAAGGAGGTCTTTTCTTTTTCTCAACAAATAACTTCTGTCACTGAAGTTTATTACATTTGGTACCTTGCAAACTGTAACAAGTTTCTACAGGTGCTTTGACCTTGGCCAGTGTTCTGATGTACCCAAAAACTCTTGGAGGAGGTGCAGTCTTTAGTGGATGGATTCCCTTTAATTCCTCTATGCCAGAACAATTCCCATCAGATGCAGCAAAGGTAGTCGCAAAAATTACACCAGTTGTATAATGCAATATTCAAACCTTATTTCTTTCTGCAAATCCAATGTCTTTCCATTTCCTGTGCTTGCTGTTTCAACCTTGTATGAAATAGAATTTTTTCTGATCTGTTGAAGGATGATCAATTGGGTGCTAAGCATGGTGATCTACTTTTAGTTTTTTTTTTTTTAAATATAAAGTGTGAATTGTATTGATATGGGCACTAAGGGGTATCACCCATAAACAAAATTTGCAAGTCAATCAATGTATCAATAAGTTTCGTTAAATTCTCTATAGAACAAAGAGGATGACCCCATAACAAAAAATCAAGAATTCGGAACCATCTATTTTTAAGAATATCAAAACCATTTACATTATCAACTCCTTCAAAAGTCCTCTTATTCCTCTCATTCCAAACCACCCAGAAGATAGAGAGCGGTATTAAGTCTTTACTTTTAGTAGATTTGAGGATGTAAAAAAAAAAAAGAGAGCATGTAGACTTCACACAGTTCAAGATTTGTTTCTTTTATTATCGCTCTATTAATTGCAAATGAAACTAGAACTCTATTACTCTTATGTTTACATTTGGTTCGATTCTCATTCAATCCCTAATCAGTTACTAGTGATACTTCTCATATTAGTATTAATATACGTAATGTACAACATGATTTTCAGTTTGTTAGTTATTACTGCCTTACATTGAATTCCATAATTGTGGGAATCAACTTCTTCTCCTTCAAAGTTGGGTTAAATTCCCATATCAAAACAATTGAAAATATGAGTAGTGTTAGCTCAAATACAATAGATCATATTGTAACTATACAAAGTGAATGACTGATATGATTATTAGAATTAGAAATTGTGAAAGAAATGAAATAAATGCAACATTAGGTATATATCAATCTATCTGAGATTTAACACATTAGTGAGGAAAAAGAACAGTCTATCATTTCTCTGTGGGATTTTCCAGGTATTCTGAAATATGCTTTGCACTTTTATGAGATGTTGCATTTTGTTTCAATTCTAATATATTTTCATTTCTTTTAGATATCGATTATTTGATATGTAGAATTCTTAGTCATTTGTATATTGGATATTTATTGAATAACCCCACCCATATCTTCAATTTTACAAGATGCATTTGTTTAGACTGAAATTAGAATGTAATTTTCATTCATATGTTCAATTCTATTATGATAGACTTGTATTCTCTAATCAATAGAGCAATAACAGAAACAACTAATTAAATTGGACGTGTACTATATTCCCATTCTTACTCTATGAAATTAAAAATTTTCACCCAACTCAACCTAATAGTCGAAAATCTTCTCTCTTTTTTGTAGACTCCTATTCTGTGGTCTCATGGAATGGCTGATAAAACAGTATTGTTTGAAGCTGGACAAGCAGGTCCCCCATTCCTTGAACGAGCCGGTGTAACCTGTGAGTTTAAGGTAATGAGCTTACTCTCCCAAACCTCTCTTGTTTCCTACTTCTAATAAAAAAAAACCTAACTTGTACATAATGCTTCAGGCATATCCTGGTCTTGGCCATTCAATAAGCAACGAGGAACTGCGGCACCTGGAATCGTGGATCAAGGCTCGTCTACAGAGTTCTTCGTAAACGTTTGAGTATTCTTGAAGTTACTCGGAGTTATTAAGTTATGATAATCAGAAATTGGTATCCCGGTTGTTGATTAATCATGATATACAAAAGGGAAAACAGGTTCTGCCAGTAATTTCCATGTTGTGCTAAAGAACTTGAGGAATTTTCATTTGCCATTCCAGTCTATTGACTGCTTTATCTTTTATACTTTTTGGGACATATATAGTTTGGTAAAGTATAGATTTACACTTCATAATTTGATCTGTTTTGAAATAAAATTTTGTAATTTATTCTATGAAGGTTTTACACATCATGCATTTCTTTTGGCAATCTTAAACATGTTCAAAACAAAATTTTAATCTTGTTATTGTTTATAGTAATAAGTTTCTCTACCAGTTAAAGACAGTAAATTAGAAGGTTTGGAGTTGTATGAGTTAACCAAATAGCCAAAATGCAAATGGAACTTTACCGAGTAATCAAATTAATTACTCTCGATGTCATAGTTTAGTTGTTAAAATTTTTACGTTTTATTTAAAAATTATGAATTTTGAATCTCATTCGGGATATAAAACTTATTATTTTGTGCGTTTTATGAGTTAGAATTGACTGAATTATAATATTTAATTTAATAAAATTAATTATTTATTATTATATTTATAAAATTGTGATGATCAAATTTGCTATAATAATAGTTTTAAAATTTTTATAAATAAAAAATTTCTCTGAAAATGTGAGCCTCAATATAATTTTATATATCCATCTCAGAAAAATAAATAAATAAATAAAACCCTCGAGCCTCGCCCATCCAACAATGGCGGTTTAAAGTGAGACAACAGGGACGCAGACAAAGGAACAAAAAACCCTAGCTGTAGGTCCCACTGCATGACTGTAATAATCACAAACAACAAAAACAAACGACCAAGATTCACTCCCCCAATTCACTTATCTTACACTGCGTCACACCTGAACACTTCCTCTCTTCTCTATAGACTCTAGACGTCACCTCCTTCATCCTCCTCCTTCTGATTCTCTCTTTCTTCTCCACAGCTTCAAAACCTCTGACTCCTTTTTCTTTTCTGCTTTTCCTCTCTCTCTCTGGTTTTGTTTTCTGATTAAACGATGAAGAAGCTTTACCGCAAAGGCACGGTTCATCCGTCACCGCCAATCATTTCCGACCACCTGGCTTTCCTTCCCGCCGCGATACTCACTCTCACGGCAGCTCTCTCGCCGGAGGACCGGGAAGTTCTGGCTTACCTCATCTCCTGCTCTAACAATAACTTATCCGGTCAAAAGAGGAGTGCTAATGTTACCCAGAAGAGCACCAACACCACCGGCGACCATCCTCCTCTTTTCAGCTGCGATTGCTTCAGATGCTACATGAGTTACTGGGTCAGGTGGGATTCATCTCCGAACAGGCAGCTGATTCATGAAATCATCAACGCGTTTGAAGATGGTTTGGTGCAGAACAAGAAAACGGTGAAACCCAGTAAGAAGGAGAGACGAAAGAAAGGTGGAGCCGGAGGAAATGGTGGAAACGGTGGCGGAGGTGGTAGTAATGGAGGAAGTGAAGTTGGTAACTCAGCTGATTCAACTCGTACTGAGTCAGGTTCAGGAAAGAACGAGGTGAGCACTGAGAATGATTCAGTGGGGGAAAATAGCGGTGGTAGTGGTGGCTGTGGTGACGAAAAGGAAGGGGGAGAAAAGGGTTCGGTGAGAAACCTGGTGAGTTTCATCGGAGAAAGGATTTGGAGTGTTTGGGGCCAGTGATTTTCCGGGAAAATCAGGAAGAAAATTACGGTGGGTTCTTTCTTTCTTCGATTTTCTAGTTTTATTATTCTTCTCTATTAAGGAAAATGAAGTTTTTTTTCTTCTGTATAATACCCTTTTTAATTAACATGTAAAAATGGGTAGTTAAGTTTCGAATATATATATATATATATTCATCTCTAGTTATATCATCATCACCATTGTTATGCTGTATATTTTCTCTTTTATCTTTTTCTTGCTTAGACTTTCTATATTCGTAGTTAGATTCTTTTCTTTTTTATTTTCAAAGAAAATAAATATATTTAATTTATAATATTTTTATATTCTTTATTAAAAAAAATAATTTTTAAAATATATTTTAGGAAATTGGAATTACACTAAGCCCATTTCCTTTTCCTTCTCTAAAAGTACAATTTTCTTTTTCCTAATTAGGCTAAATGTTCATTGGATTTCTTAATTTGGTGAACGAATTATTATTAGTAGCATAGAAAATTGACTGACCCAATTGTAAATTTAATTTTTAAATTTGTCAAAAAATAGAAATTTTAAATTTTAAAAATATTTATAATAATAGGGTAAGTGGGGTTTTTTTAGTATCTATTAAATAAATAGTTATGCTTAAATTTTTAATATCAGTTGTATAAAAATATGTATGTAAATTATAAATATATAAAAATAATGGTTGTTATTTAAAATGTTTTTTCCATCGAACAAGCTTTTTAAAAAAGTAGGATTTATTTATTTATTTTAGTGAATATGTGTAAACCATTTGAACTAC